GAACAATACTAAGCAACGGGCAGTGTTACGACAGCGGAAGTCACGTGACGCTCATAACACGTCATGAGATTCTCGAAGGATCTTGACTTTTCCTGGCAACTCTAGTCTTTTCTAGGCGCCCCTCTTTTTTAGATATAAGCCCGGTCAAATAAAGCGGAGATATAATTGCAGATAGATAGATATAGAAACAGATAATTGATTCAAGCGAGCGGTAGTGACGGTAATATAAAGTGTGTGTTTTGTTATCGAGATTGCAAACATATTGACTGTGGAAATTCTGTGTATTATAAAGTTGTATCGAGAAAGAATAAACTAGTTTTAATTAAGAAAGAACTTGTATCGCTGAAGTTCCTAGGAAGGAATTTATACTGGAAATTAACAAACGAGCAGATACGCAACAATATTAAGGTTTTGTATTTTGATAGCTGTGAAGAGGATGCTGCTCCTTTACAAAAGGATTTGATCATTTAGTGAGTTAGGCAAATAAATGGCAGATGGTGTTTAATTATAATGAATGCAATATAATGCATGTGGGTTATCATAATTTGAATTATAAGTATAATTTGGATGGAAATAACTTTAACAGTGTCATGGAAAAAATATCTTGGTGTTTTGGTTGATCAGTCTCTTAAGCCATCTAAGCAGTGTGCTGTTGCTAGTGCCAGAGCAAATAGGATTTTAGGTTGTATCTAGATAAATATTGAATATAAGTCTAAAGAGATTATGATGTTGTTGTATAGGTCATTGGTTTAGCCACATTTGTAGTACTTTGTTCAGTCTTGAGATACTTACCTAAGAAAGAACATTGAATTTTTGTAAATGGTTCAGAGGAAGGCTACTAGGATGATACCTGGGATTGAAAGGTTGTATACAGGGATATGTTAAGATTTCTGAATTTATTTTCTATTGAAAAAAGTAGAGTTAAAGGAGATCTGTTTGAGGTGTTTTAGATTATTAAAGGATTGATAGTGTTGATGCCTTATCTTTTTTCACATTTATTGGAGAGAATGATAATACTAAAGGACACAAATATAGATTTGGCAGGGTAAGAGTCATCTTCAGATAAGACAGCTTTATTTTTCTAAAAGGATGGTTGGCCTTTGGAATGGGTTGCCTTAAGATAAGGTAGATGCAGCTAATTTAAAGGAGTTTAAGTGAAGCTTGATAAATATTTGAATGATAAGAGCTGGTTTTGAGGTTTTGTTGTGATTAAATTAGTGGATGGGATGGCCTAGATGGACCAAAAGGTACCTTATTGTCCTTTAATGTTGTGTTATGTTATGTTACATACTGGCTGCTTTACATTTCAGTTACCATCTTCATCTCAGTAGCTTTACTTTCCAACTTCACTGTCTACAGGCAACCTTGCATCCTAAATGTTATCATTACTGGTTCATTTTACAAAACACACATATTTGTTCTTAAACACCACTATGTACTAGGTCAGGGGGTTCCAAACTGTGTGCTGCAGTTCTCAGGGAAGGGGGCTTAAGTGAAGTGTCAGAGAGGTTAAAGCAAGTATACAAAATATACAATATTGTTAAGATACTCGGTATCTATAGATTAAGTGGATGATGGAGGGTATGTGTCATGATGCAAAAATGTTTTGGGGAGTTTGTGCTGAGAAAATGTGGAAACTAATGTGCAAGATAACTTTCTGTTCCAAACACCATAATCTACTATATCTTTCTACTTCTAAACCGTTTCATCTACTAGATTTTTACATCATACCATCTTTGGACTACTCTACATTTCATATATCATACTCTACCGGTTCACTTCTCACAAACATCTTCACTCTGGATAACTGCACATTCCATACGCACATTATGTAAATCTTTTTTCTAATATTTCTATAATTCATTCATGATGCTAGAAAAGCGTGCAGGTTGAAGAAATCAATTTGACACAACGTATCTTTGTGTTAAATTGATTTCTTGAACCTAAGTGTTTTTCTAACAAAACATCATGAATGTACTTATGTTTCTAACATTCTTTATAAAGTTAATATGTTAATAAAGTTAGTTTTATAAAGCTGTCGTTTTGATTTTAAATGAAGTATTTAATTTTCTGCTACTAGAGGGTACCATCATTCTAAGTACTGCAGAGAGTATAGATGGCTCTAGAATCCTATATGCTACTACAGGCGCCGACGCAGTGGCTGCTTAGTTACCGGCGTTTCGTTGAGGTTGTGAAACAAAAGGCCTACTTTTTACTTAAGTTGTTGTTTTGTGGACTGAATAAAGTGTTCAAAAGTACGGCTACTTTAACCGTAGGAAAAGTAAATAACTATTAAGGTATTGTTAGTTTGTTGTAAATAATAATTTGTTGCCAAACTAATTTCGTATTGATAAAAAGTAGTTAGTTCAATGGAGTGCAACAACTAACGTAGTCACCTAAAATGCTTATCATCAGCCGACGCCTGCCATCTTCGGCGCATTTAGTATTATCATGGAGATTCTTCGGACGAAATCATACGCAAATACCATTTATCTTGGACCATATTTTTAATACTACAAGCAGGTATTCGTCAAATAAATTGTTTAACCTTTATTGTTTTAAAGAAAGTATAAGACCCATCATAAGAAAAACCACATCAATTTCAAGGTGGTTTCATGCAACATCAGTAATAAGCTCATCAAATGCTGATCGGGTTTTCATGCCAGTGGAAGAGTTTATTCGAGCAAAATCTGAGAAAAACCACAAAGTGAAAGAAGAAAATGATAATCAGGATGAAGAGAATAAGAAAAAAACAAACAGTAATAATAAAGAACAAGTTTTGAGGTAAGTTCACACTTATCTAACGTAATTATACTTAAGTAAATTTAACACATAACATGATTAACAATAACATAAACTCTGATAGTGTTGTTGCAATGTAATGCTAATAATACTATGATGTATCTATCGTTATTCTACTCTAAACGCAACTCCCATACTGTTTCATCCGTGATGTTGCCTTTTTACACTGAAGTCAGTTTGTTCTACCACGGTATAGGCCCGTGTCAGGACTACACAAAATAAATATTATGAGAATTGTTATGGTGTGAACGACTTTTCTAGACTGACGAAACATTATTATAATTATTCTTGTAATAATACATTAGTATTAAGCCTGTTTTATTTTTAACTCTCCATTCTTTATTCAGTTCAATGGTTTTTGTTTTTTAAGAAGAGTGAATATGACGATCACACTCACAGTATGGTTGAAATACTGTTATGTTTTCTTCCTAAAAACGTAACGGCCTGGATAAAGAATGTAGTTAGTGTTAAAATAACACGCCAAATACTAATGTTTTGTGACAGTATGATTAATTATAATCATGCTTCGCCAGCTGAGGAAAAGGATTTGGCGAACATAGTATGGTTGAAATAATATTATACACTATTCTTCTTGAAAAAAAAAATCTTTAGCCTTAAGGGGTGAATAAAAGTGTTTTAAAAATATAATAGGTCTAATACTAAAGCCTTATGAGTAGTATATTAAGTACTAAATAAAATTATAAGACTTAATCATTGCTTTTGCCGTTGTTATATACTAAATGCATATACCAGTTTTGTTTAAAAGATGACTCGGGGCATGAACATGGATTCACGTTGTCTGAGTTGGTATTTTAGTGTTTTTCGATCTGGTAGGGTCAATGAACTTGGATTTTGCCTTTTACAGATTTCATTTTGAAATATGTTGCAACTATCATAAATACTGAAGTCATGATAAAACTAATTCCTTTGAGATTAGCCAGTTTTTTTTTTTTTAAATAATTGCTTTCATGGACGTCAAATTTTGAATCATGAGAAAATTACCGGTATTACAAACGTAGAACCTGCCTATGTAAACTTGTGTGCCTTTGAACCAAGTTTTTATGACTCAGGTTTCTGTTGTGTTCTAAGAATAGATTTCTAGTGTGGTTGATATCGTAACGTTTAAATGTTATTTAAAGATTGCTTGTTGATGACTGTACAGCTAAGACGTTTTTTGATGTAGCAGTCTTCGTGCGTCGTACTTCCATTAGTTTGTGTACAGGATACCAGATGTGTTGAAGTTTTATCCTCTGCAATGGCTACTATTATTAATATAAGTTTTCACGTAGTTCCTGGAAAATGTTTAAAACGACTGTATCAGTCATATCGCAGGTTACTACAAGATGGGCTTACAGCTTGGAATACATCGGCGTCATGTGTCTTGTATTCAAATTTTATCGTAAGCCGTGAAGCAGTTAGAACTATCCCTGTATTCCGTCGCGGTTTGTTCGGTAGCAGGGAGTTGACGCCAGTGTACGTGGTTAACCGTTACGCAGTAAATCGTGTTAGGATGTTCAACCCACCCGAAGAAATTGTTCACCAAAACGATAACATACATATGTGAGTTTATACACTAACGCATATAGCACAGTGAATCTGAACAATTATAAAACACTTTTAAATCGTGACAACTATTGAATTGAATATTTGAATATTTTCTTAAAACACATTGTTCGCTATAAGTATAACGAACCAGACAACAAAGAAAATGAAATAACAAATAAATAATACAACCTTTCTTCACAATTTATCTTGTATTTAGAAAGAAAGATTCCTTATGTTGCTTGTAATTTCGTTTTACTTTTTCAGTCCAACATATATTTTTATCTTCTGTTTTTGTTATTTAAATCTTTACTACATTTTGATACTTGGAATATATTTATTCGTACTTAATCTTAGTAAAAGCTTTCGCACAAGCAAATAGCTATTTGTATCGTTTATGAGACATTGAAGTGAAAAGAAAATCCAAAGTAATTTTGTTTTTCAAACGTGCGTTCGACCAAAAAACTGCTCGCAAGTGTTGTTAGTGTTACTGTTTGTAACCAGTGAACCATAAAAACACAGCGTTGACATTATTAAAATCTTCAGTAAGCTAAATGCGTAAAATAAAGAAATGAGCCATGATGATGGTGATTTTTTAGCACAACGCTATTCAATTGAGCTATTTGCGCTTTGTCTCGTGCGTGGAATCGAACCTCAGATTTTAGCATTATAAGCCCGAAACTTACGGTTGTCCCACAGAGGATAAATGCGTTATTAACTGGAAATTTATTTTCACTAGAGGATACGTCTTGACATTATGAGTCTTTGTGTTTTATATGGCTGGTTGAAAAACATGTTTAAAGAATTACTGCATTCACAAATATCCTACATGAGCAACTAGTAGGTATATAAAAGCCAGTGTCCGTCTTTTCGTAATGCTACGTTCCAACACTAGCCTTTATGTTAGGTAGCTTAGCAACAAAAGTATGTTTTAACTATTATGGAATGTTACAGTTTAAAAAATATATTATGGGATGTTATGGTGTTTTGTACCTACTATGGGATGTTACAGAGTTTTATAAAACTATTATAGGATGTTATAGAGTGTTTTCTTTAAACTGTTTTGGGTGTTATAGAGTGATTTCTAACTATTATGGGATGTTATAGAAATGTTTTTTTTCTAATGATTATGTGATGTTATAGAATGTTTTAGGTATTCATCAAGAAGTAGTTATGTGTATAATAAATGTTGTGATTCTATTTTGTCAATCTAATGTATCATAATTACATAAGTAAAGAAATCATGAATGACCTAACTAACTCTTACCAATTTTAGCATGTAGAATGAGTTCTTCCACTTCATCTGAAGCTTCTCAAAGTATAGATTGTTAAGCATTTGAAGGCTGGGTGTAGACAGATATTTAGTACATCAGAAAGCCTAAAGTTTAAGCTGCTAAATACTGCTAAACGAGCTATGTTATATGTATACTAGGAGCACTGACATATTGTTAATATTTGTTATAGTCATAAATTATATAAATGATAGTCAGTGAAGACATAAAGCAATAATGCAATTAAGTGCTTGCAATTTTAGTTTATTTCAGGTAAATTTTGTGAGGAAATAGTAGTGTTTTTCCTTAATACTAGACACTGGTTCCCTTTCTTTTTTTCAGCGGTAAACAAATTTGAATGTACATAACTCATAATTTTACTAGGCCAATATTTATGTTTGTTTTTGAGCATTTGTGTTTGATTTTTGTGGTTCTCTGAAATTACAGCTTTTTATTCTTAAAAAATAAATACTGACTTACACACATTTTTCCTGTTTTGTGCATATTTGTGTCACAGTGGTATTCTGCAATGTGCAGATATCATTGTTGTAACCTTATCATAACTGTAAAGCTAGATATGTGTTTATTGAGTTGTTGTTTTTTTCCTTCAATTATTTATAGTTATTTGTATGTAAAATTTCTAGGCTAACATATTCAGTCTTGAACTACATTAATCTTCTCTTTAGGTGGTTACACATAGTCAGAAAAGCTAGTCCAAGCATGGTTTCCTCTGGTGTGCTTGACAAGTTGCTAATTAGCTTTAACAATTGTCTAGAATGGAAGAGGTGCAGCGATATATATAGGATTTTATAGTTTGGATGGGTTGGGGCAACTTACAAAATTAAAGAGACCCAAACCCCTAAAAATGGTATTGTGATACATATAAAAGTGAAATAATTTCTGTACAATTTTTAGAGAATAGGCATATTCTGGTAAAGATGAGTCATTTCAGTCAACTTTTAGAAATCTAACCCCACATACTGCCAAGTTTATCATACATGCCACCTCTCTTGGGACCAGTCTGCAGAATGAAGCAAGGTCTGGTTAAAAAAATTGTTCACTATGTATTTACAGTTTTGTACTGATGTTAAGTTATAATTTTTACATTTTTTGTAATTACCTAGACCTTTAAAGCAAATTTCTCAAAAGAAGTTTGAGCCAAACTTTTTTGAAAACATCTTGTTATGTCAAAACTTCAAAAACAAGTTACATATCACATAAAGAGTTCAATCATAGCAAAATATGATTAAAAAATTGGGTATACACTGAGTGAATTAGGTTCAGTTGAACCTTTAAAGTGCTATTTGCCCCTTTTTGGACTACAAAGAAGTCTAGAACATCGTCTTGTGTTACGTGAATGCTTCTAGTGAGGGTCATATGCACCAAATCATTAAGTCATTTCACTTCCATCATACTCCACTGATATGTTTAAATGTGCTTTAAACAGCTAAAAGATCCTTCAGCCTCACTAAAACTTCTGGATTGATGGATAGAGGTTTTTGTTAAAAAGTTAAAGAGTTCTAGTATTATATATGTTTTAAATCCTAAGTTTCAAGAGGAAATATTTAAATAAATTCTAAAACTTCACAAGTCTATTATGACACTTTGCTACAAATTGCACATTTTCTGCTTTCTGACTTACCCTACGTGATGTTCTGAATTTAATATAAACTACACACTTATAGTATAGCTATAATGCAGCAAAAGAACATTAGGCTAAATGTAAGTTTTAAATTTCAGTTTTTATGTATGTTTTTATTTATTGTTATATAAATAACTAAAATGTAAAAATTAAAAACATATTGGGTTCAATAAGAAAAATAAAGAAAAAAGTTAAATAAAAAATCTAATATTTTTCAGCAAGGTTTGCACGTGAGTTGTTTGTTCATTAATGTAATTGATTTTAAATCTTCAGGAAACGTAGGTCCTTTGAACTAACTCAACTTGCTCAACATTAACAGATTTTCATGTTTCTCTTATCTAAGTGTATTTTATCTAGTCAGTCTAGCCAAGTGATCAACCCTCACCTTGCGAATTGATTGACCAGTATGCGTAGTCCGGATCTCTCAGCTGCGACTTTTATCAGAATTTGTAAATTCATAATAATGGAATATATCTCCCTGAATCATAATTCAAGGATAAGAATAGAATGATATTTCATGAATGCTT